ATCTTTTAGTGTATGTGTTTGTGAAGGAAGGTTACCTAGGAAATACACTTTTTGATTTTTCAAAAAAAATATTTATCTTTCATAAACACATCTTTTATTTTTACATACATACATTAAATCGTTATAATATATATTTTCAGTAAAAGTTCTTAGCCCTCTTTTTCTTGATGGGAGGGGGATCACATTAAGCTGGTGTGAGTTTCGGGCGGAAATTGCGGAGAAGAATGGCAAAGCTTAAGCTAGGTGGTTTGACGAGAGAGCACTTGGTAATGTGTACTCGCATTTTGGCAGTAGTTTAGTAGCATCAAAATGGACCCTTTTTTGAGTTTTGTTTTCTTCCATAGCTCCAATCAATTAGTAAGTATTGTGAAAAAGCCTAGTAAGTATTTTGTCTCTCGCTCCATGGCTTCGCACCCTATTATTTTCTTTCCCAATAAAGATCCCTTCGGCCCTTCAAGAAAAGATAATAATTACTAGTTTGGTACTAGACATTTATGGTCTATATGTCAAATTTTGACACAACATTTCCATGTGGAGTGGAGTCATACCAACCTAAGAAGTGTACTCATTTTTTATGGCTTCATTTCTTCTTCTTCTTCAAATTGAAATATTCAACATCAAACAAATTTAGACCCTAAGTGAGTAGTGACACTCTGGTTGGCTTCTCCAATACTCAATACTAAAGAAGAAAGAAAGAAAGAAAGAAAAGAAAAGAAAAGCTCCACTTCATTCATTCTAGTGTGTCAGCAAGTAAAAATTTGGAATTTAGGATACCAAACTTGCTCGAGGAAGTCATAGAAAGGCCGGTCCATCTCTTTGTTGGTTTGCCAAAAGTCGTCAACCACTTAGGTTGTCTCCTAAATAAAACTTAGGAAAGGAGAGGACCATTGTTGTTTGATTGATGCACTTACCAAAGTTTAGTTGAGAAAATGTTGGGGACGGAATATTATTGCTTTAGCAACTTTTGACTCGTCTAAATCTCAGATAAGTTTCTACTCCCTTTTTTTTTTTTTTTAAAGTCTGTGCAGTTGCTATACGGAGGAATTCATTCACTATTCAATCATCCAACTTGGAGAAGAAGCTTTAATTTAATTATTTTTCTGGAGGTTTTGTTCAAAGGGAGACACTAGCCTTATACGGGAAAGGGAGAATCAAGAAAATTTAAGAATCGAATTAGAGAATTCACGATCATCTATCTAGCCTTATACTTTACTTTTTAACTTTTAGGTACACGAATACCATCAACGAGATATTAATGTACGACCGAAAAAGAAATAAAAGGAGCTAATAGGCGAAAGACAGCAATTAAAAAATCTTCAATTCTTTGAGTTTTCTTTTTGGTCATAATTTTCTGATACTGTAACTTTTGGGTCGAATTTAAGCATCCGATTTTGTAAGTCACATCACCAGAACAAATTTCGAAAAGGACCCTAACTTGGGCCAGTGAAGCCACGCCTGAATCTGGGACGAGGGATGTGGGAGAAAACCTTTTGGGAGCTTCCATTTGTGATGGGTAAACTCAACCAGATTAGACTAGCAGTTTGCCCATATTGTTTTCCCGCCGTAACAAAGCAGACAACGGCATATGGGCTACCTTGGGTGTACAGCATATTTTTGTATCCTAACTAAATCCTGCCTACCCAACTCATTGGCTACCTATGGATTAAAACTTGTAATTCTTGTTGGCCCAATACTGCCCCATCCAGAGCCAGGTGATTCACACTTCAGGACCTTTCCCTAATTTACTTTTTTTCTTTTTTGGGAGGCACCTGTCTCTAATTATTTTTCAACTCCATAAATGATACAAATCCATGTCAGGAATGCATTCTGTGTCCCAAAACCTAATGTAATTGGTAGGGAAATTAACCAAATGATCGTAAAGAACCTAGTTCGACTGTCAAGTTTTTTTTTTCCCTTTCTCCTATCCCTTTATTAGGTTTGAAGTCTTTATTGAACCCACAAAAAAAAAAAAAGGTTGCATTCAATGTCCTGTTAGATTGGTTAGGGGAATGAATAAAAGGTTCCTTAAATTTAGAAGAAATAAATTGGAAAAAGAAGCCAACACAAGTTGGCTTAGTTGAGAAGTACGGACTGTTGAGTCATAAAACAAAACCAAACCAACGGATGTTAGTGCAAGCAGAAAGGGCTTCCATCCCTTAACCATGAGATATCATATTCAAAATCCATGGAAATGGAAAGGACAACATTGGAACAGCTTTCCTGCAAGAGGCCGGACCCGACTCGAACAGGATTAGTCACAGATCATTTTAAACGGATATAGATACCTGTGGATTATACCAAAATAAAACAAAACCAAGAGAGCTGGTCCCCCTCTGTATTTTTACTCCTCTTGCAAGAACAAAAGGTTGTCGTCCAGTATGTTATCTGCAATCAATCCTGTGAAGCTTCAACTTCTCACAGTAAATGTGGCCCCGAAGGCCCAATTGGATCCGAGGACAAACGGTAATAGTCCAATTTTTAATTTCACAAGAAAAAGATATAAGACGAAGTTTAACCATTTTGTTTTTTATTCTCAACCAAAATAACTAAATAAATAAAAGAAAAACTTTTTGTTGCTAAAGCTGGGGTTCTTGGCAAACCACCTTCAGTCGGCAAAAACGACACATTATTAGCTTAAGGAATCAAACACCAACTGAAACCCTTAACAACACATAAGCGGAAAAATTGACACAAAGTACTGCAAAATCTACCAAGCTTTGAAACATTAAAACTACCAAGTGCAAAAAACCTTAAAACAGATAATCAAAAGGAGACCTACTTTGTAAATTTTGGCCAAATATGAGAGCAGAAAGGATATCCCCCAAAAATAGTTCCTGCAAAATATTTTCCGTTGAAGAAAATTCAATTTGTTTTCCCCTGATCGTACTAGGTAATCCTTGAAACAAATGGAAGTGTGAAACAATTAGTAACTTTTTCTTTTTTTTATGGACAGTTGATTTTTCAGTTCATAAGAAACAAATGTAAGGGGACTAAAGGCTCAAAATTACCTTAATAAGCTTCTAGATAAAAGATTTGGTCTTTGCAAAACCTGAGCAAGACATGTCACATGTCTGGAGAGAGTTGGAGAACTTTTGATCGCCGAAGGACAATAGGGCCGACCGTTCTCTTTTCATGCAAGGTGTAAAGTTCGTGACTGGTCGCAGTAGGGCGGTGGCTTTAACCATTAATTCTTGATTAGACAGCCCTTTAACGGCTTTCCAGAATGCTCTAAATAACCTCTGCAGCGGAATCAGCCGCAGCTCACCGGCCACTGGTTTTGGAATTTCTGGCTTATTACTTAAGACGTACAATCAATACATGAAGCGCTTAATTATTTCCTACTATGAATTTTCTGTAATACGTATTTCGAGTGTAAAATAACATTTGTACGTCCAATTGCTCGAATGCGTCTCCACTAATCACAAGCTTGTTGTTTTTTGAATTAGTCGAAATAGTAGAGTTGGTATAGTGTCTTTTTACTAACTGGAATTCAAATCCGTATTGGAATAATTGGCCGTCATATAAGGCTTACATGGTACGTCTTATTCCTTCGTATGATTGACGAGCTATTGCACGGAATAGAGTTTATCCAATATACACTGTCGAATAGCGGCTGCGAATTTTAAATTGCAAGCTTGGCAATCAATCACCATCACGATAATGGGCTACGGAAATTTCAGACTAATGGTGTTTGGTCACAACCGCGTAAACGATACCAGAAGGCGTTTGGTACTCCGATCGTGGCTGTGGGGGCTGCTTCTTTTCCAAAACTCGTCACCGCTACACTCCTAACGTTGCATGGCTCAGTTGTTCAGTAGAGCATGTAATATGTATGGGTGGTTGAAAGTTTTGTACCGTTTCCGAGAAGTAATTCTATGTCATCAGGTTTTGTGGTGTAACCCACCCATACCACCAATTCTTAGCTGTAAAGGCCCATTGCCTTTTGCCTCTTCATCTTCTTTGCTTGGAAGTCAATTTTTTTTTTTCATATTCTAGATAAGACGGCCTGATCCTTGCTTATTGCTATTTTTGATTAGTTTACTTATTCAAGTTAAATTAAAAAAATTTCCTTTTAATAAATGAGAAGTCTTGAACACATGATATCATACTTACAATCCCTTCCGCTGAGTCTAACGATGTTCTCATGACGCGAGCGTAATGGAAAATTAACATGAGATTGTGTCAGGATTAAGCGCTTACCATTACACCAAAAGCTATAGCTGTTAGCGAAGGCGCAACTTTATTTCCTTAACCACAATGGCAGCGCAAAGCACCGTACCACGCTCGGCCAGCATGAGGGGCTGCACCCCTGGGTGCCACGGGCTGGGCGGTTAGTCCCTTCGAGCCGGGATCTGAGGGATGTTGCTGATTAGGCCAACAATTCCTCCCCCAGCAACAGCCAGGGAGACTCGAACCCGCGACCTCGCTCTGATACCACTTGTCAGGATCAAGCGCTTACCATTACACCAAAAGCTATAGCTGTTAGCGAAGGCGCAACTTTATTTCCTTAACCACAATGGCAGCGCAAAGCACCGTACCACGCTCGGCCAGCATGAGGGGCTGCACCCCTGGGTGCCACGGGGTGGGCGGTTAGTCCCTTCGAGCCGGGATCTGAGGGATGTTGCTGATTAGGCCAACAGATTGACAGTCCTCGACACCTTAAGACAGTTGTCCGAAGTCATGGGAAGGGTCACGAATGAAGCTTCGTAATTTCCATTTTTTCTCAAGTCTTTTTAATTGTTTGAACTTGACCAATGTAGCTTGGATATTTGAATTGTGAGTTTGTGTAAAAGAATTTTTAATTATCTTTTTATTTTATCTATATCATATTACTACAAGATTTTTTCTTTTTTTTTCACAAAAGTTTCAACAAAAAAAAGAAAAAAGAATGTACTATTCAAACGGGACGATCTTTAAACAGCATTTACAAATAGAAGCCACTTGTCAGTCTTTACATGGCTTAATCTTAACAACTAGACTCCAACAAGCCCTCTCCTGCTCTTCTCCTCTACCTACCACAGACAGACCATCATGCTATAAATTCCCCCCCAACTAAGCCCTTTCTGATCATGAACAACGAATCACTCACAACCCTCCTAAGCATACTACTTTTCCTTTCCCCTAGCATTTATCAAATCATCTGCCTTTTCCTAGTACATTTTCCACATATATTCTGCCTGATCAGTTTCTTGAGAGCCCAGAAAGATGAAGCTAGTCTTCTTCACTTTGCTCCTCCTTGCTCTTGTTCTCAACTCCTCCTTCATCCCAACCACAATGGCTGGATCAAGTAAGATCTTCTTCTTAACCTCGACGGGATACAAGACATAATGATTGAAATTAACAACATCTTCCTACGTACCAACGCATGCACCTGTCTGGCCAATTATACTAATAAGCTGCGAATTTTGTTTTCACCTGTAACGCATACATTTATTCTTGTGAATTTATTATCCTTTGCTTTTAATCTCAATTTTTTCTACTTGGTTGGTCACAGGCTTTTGTGATTCAAAATGTGGAGTGAGGTGCTCGAAGGCTGGAGTGCAAGATAGATGCTTGAAATACTGCAAAATTTGCTGTCAAGAGTGCAATTGCGTGCCTTCGGGAACTTATGGGAACAAGCACGAGTGCCCCTGCTACAGGGACAAGAAGAACTCCAAGGGCAAGCCTAAATGCCCTTGACTTAATTCACCTGTTTCATTTACCAAATCTACAGAGCACAAATATATTACTAGTATTATGTATCTTGGCCGTCACCGCTGGCCACTAAGTTATATGATGGTTGAATAACTTTTTTGAGTGTTTTGGCTCTTTCCTCATATGTGTTGCTGTATAAAATATATATTAAGAGTGTCATGCTACTGCCATAAAGCATTGTGTGTCAATCTTTTCTATATTAATAATTATATGAGTGAGTTTTTTTATATACTGTCGGTGTATAATTTTTTTAGAAGGTTCCTCTATTTTAGACAGCAAAGCTAAAGTTCAAAAATACATGCAAAATGACAACATAAACAGAAGGAAAATTATACAAATTAATCAATTATTTGCACAAGATAATTCAGAACATGTATTACATATTTTGTAAAGAACGCTCAAAATAGATGCACGCATCAAAATTACTATCATAATTGCGTATGTTTTAAGGGCTATCTTGTGTTTAGATATTTCATTATTTGAAATAATCATTTGACTTACATCATACACACATTATTTAATTATTTTTTTAATTTCCCATAGATTACATAAAAAAAGTAGTGTAGCATCAAATTAAACAAAAATTTTTTTTTTTTTTTTCAAAGAGTGGGCATCCAAACACTTACCCGAATGTTTTCCGTTATTGATTCGCCCCCAACATCGCCAGGCAGGAAGTAGCAGTAGTGGTGGCATTGGCATATTTAAGTCCGAGGTTGACTGATCCCAGATGAGAATGTGGCCCGGTCACATGCACATTGTACGATGAAAATAACGCTATGCTTTACTCTTGCATCGGTCCCCGCCATACATAATAATTGCATCTCCCACCTGCCGGCCCGGTTCAGCTCGTAAAAGGGTAACAAATCCAATCAGAAAATCAACAACAATTGCGAAGAGTTTATTTGGATGGCTTACTTGAGATAATTACTGTATCATTTTTTGTAATGTGATGTATGTGAAATAAAAAGATGATTGAAAATATAAAAAGGTGATTAAAATTTGTAAATTAAATTATTTTACTTCAAATCTTGTTTGTCCAAACACACAGTTTCAAGGAAATAAATTTAGAGCCTTTGATTACGTCGACAAAGGTGCAAGTCAATTCTAAATTAATACCGTGCATTCTCTTGTATTAATCCCAAAATTACAAAATTATATGTAATCAAATTAAACAAGAAAGCTTTTTTTTTTTTTCAATATTCCAATAATTATTAAGTATTTTTAACAAAACTCCTTCGTACCAACGAGATTGCACCTTTTATCATGGATGTCCCTAAGCTTATAAGAGAAGCACTCTTCTTGTCATTGTTATTATTACAAGTTTACAACTTTTCTGTTTTTTTTTTAAAGGGTTTTTATCATGTAATATTGTCTACCTACCTATCAGATCAAGAAAATATGATGGATATAGAGAGTAATTTTCACGATACCAAGCACACTTCACAAAAAATTAAACCAGGTCGATGTGAATTTATTGAGAAATAATTTTAAGGATACAAAGGCCACGAAATAAGTAGCAACAAAACAATTGCTTTCTAAATATTCATCACAGTGTATAAAATCACAACCTAAAGGCTGCTACAGTAAACAACACATGACGGGAGGGAGGGAGCATTCTAAGGATTAATTAAACAACAGAGAGTAAAAAAATTTTATTCCTAGACAGACGCTGACACCAACACAATTCTACTACACCTACAAATTATCATGCAACAACCAACAAAATGGAATGGAAGAGATTGATCATCATCTTCTCTCCGCTATATCCCAACAACAAAGCTCCACTGGATTGATGATGCTACGAATGCTTCTGTTGCAGCTTCACAATTTTTCCCACCATCACATCACACTCCTCTTTCTTTCAGGTCAGCAACTTTAAAGCTTAGCTCATCCATCAACAAAGTCAGGAAAAGGCTAACACTACAACCACGAAGCTACTATTACAAGGTGTATAAACACAAGTTAAAAACTGCTGGTTTCTGTAGGAGATCTGAACGGAACCAACACAAAGTAAGAATAAAGCTACAATTTCCGGCTGCCTTTAGAGTTTGTGACACCTCCTTACGGGTACGTGTCTATACATGCTGGTGCTTCTTCTTCTCAAACCAAGCAAGAATCTTCCTACCGAAAAGGTTGCTGCGCATTGATTGAGCATTGCTTTGGATTAAGCTGTGAAGTGCAACGTATACTTCACCCTGTACAACAAAATCATGACAAAATGAGAAATCAGATGATCAATCCTAGACTGAGTGGTCAGACCCCTCATCTAAAAGGCAAGAGATAATGATGCCTTGAATGGTTTCTGTTTGTCAGCATGAACATGGCTAAAGGTGGTCATTTCAGCATTTTCCAAGAAGGTTAACGGTAAGCAACTCAAAAGATATGTAAAGTACTTGTTGAATTTAAAACAATCATGCATCAGAAAAATATCAGAAGCTTTGGAGAGTGACATGCCCAAGGGACAGCAAAGAAATCCAGTACATCAAACTACCTTTGCGATTGATAGCGCTTTCTGAATGACAAAGTTCCCATAAGGATGTACTAGTAGACTACCAGCATTTGGACTTGTGAGCAATTCCATAATAACTGTTGCAGAGTGCCCTTTTCCAGAATCAACTAGAATTTTCTCCACTACATTACTCGCATATTTGTCACTGGAGAGGGCCACAAAATGGCCTCGAAGCTGTTCCAACAGAAGAGCTGTAACTTCTGGTATTTTTAGTCCCAGCAAGTGTTGAACCACATAATTCCTACATAGAATGAAGGGCAAAAAGCATATCAAGAAAGAACATGCTTATTATTATTGTTTTGCAACTTAGGGTAAAGAATTAAAAAAAAAGCATGCATTAGAATCAAACCCATAAGGATCTTCTGCTAGTTGTAATGCATTTCTTATTATTTCATTCATCAAACGCTCTTTGGGTTCTCCATAAGCATTCTCCACACAAGACTGCAGCACACAGCACCCACTTTTGTCTGTTGCAATTGTATAGCAGTTATGTACAATTTCGTTGAGAAGGTGCTGCCAAATACAACATATTGTCAGACAGTTGATTTAGTCCAAACATGCTAGTATACAGAAAGAAAAAAAAAAAACTCCTTAAACAAAGTATCTAGAGATGGGAAGAACTCATCAAACATATGAGAGCAGCAGTAAACCATCTATCACGTGTCTGAGTATAGGCAGATAGTGCTGGTGCAGGAGAATGATATATTTCACGAACAGACACACAAATTGGTTCCTGAATAGCAACTGTGGCAAACATATCATCCAAGATTTACTGCTAGAGTAACACTAAGTTCAGATTGGCCAAAAAACAAGTTTATGCAAGCAATGAAGTTGCAATTGACTATCTTTAAGCAACGGAGTGTGTCTATCACTGCTTGAGCAGATCATGTGGATACAAATATCTACCTGCTCAAGCTACCCAATGGGCAGTGATTTGAAATGGGGAATGAGTTGCACAAAGAAATTGGTACTAGGCACACAAAGGAACAGCATAGTCATACTTATCAGTTCGGATGACAAGGACATTAAGCTACATTTCGATTAGAGAAAGGAGCCCCAAGACCCAAATGCATTTAATGGATAGGAAATTATTTGAAATATTATTTGGAATAATTACTGCAGTACTTTTTGCGATGTGATATATGTGAGATAAAAAGGTGTATTAGAAAATGTGTTTGTAATGCAAGCAAATAATTTTACTTTATTCTTCAGCCTATAGTTGTTGCTGACTGTAAGTACCAATTTTGGCCATTTCAAGACAGCTTGTTTGACAAAGCAATACTTTTAACTTTCTCATGAGGTAAATATTATACGTGGGGTGTGCTGATGGTGGATCTTGTCAGTTAGATTGAGGTAGTAAAAGGATCACAGTACAAGAACACATTGATTAACTAAATTAGGAAGATGTGTGTTGTACCATCCTCAAGCTAGAAATTGTAAACATCAGAAAAATGAGAAATCTTAACAGTAGATTTTTATATTTTTCACCAGTTTGATTGCTTTCTAGTATTATTGTGGTTGAAAAACTCAAAACCAACTATGAAGGAAGCTACCACCAAGTAGCGTGGAGAAGCAATACAAATTGTTGAGTCAGTAGCATAAAGAAGAGAAAAGTCAAACAAGGAAAAATAGGGAAGAGGAATTCAGACCATAATCTCACTTGTTGCCTTTCCCAATGACGTGATCATTGAGAACTCGAGTAGAGAGGAAACTCAACATGAAGGTTGGCAAGTTATGCTAGAATAAAGCTACGCAGTTTAGTTCAAAGCATGATGAACAACCTCACAGAGAAGAAGAACAAGAAGAATAAGAAATTACATAACAAGAAATTCAAGCGTATTATGTTAGATAAACTTGTTATGAAGCTGACAATGGGTTCATTAATTTGCAAAAGTGAAATGAAGTGGTTAAAATGGTATAACAACGAACTATAACCACCTCAGGATACAAAACTCTTGAGTGGAAATTATGATAGTTCAATGATACCTTCATATCATATTTTAGCACTCTCAAGAACATATATTTAGGACTTTCTGTTCTCACCCAGCAGCTATTCCTTTCCCACAGAGAAAAAAGGAACATCTATAACATCGCTTTTGATAGAGAACAAATCTACAAGCCTATAAAAGTATAACGCTGTGAAATATAAAAAGAGCACCTATACAAAAGTACTCTTCTATCAAGTTTGAATTTTATGAGAAAGCCTCCTGAATGTCTAAAACCTAAACCCTAACTTAAAGTTAAACCTAAGGAAAATAACAAAGTGGCTGAGATTTATCTTTCACATGCTCTTAAGTTGTTCTCTAGAAGATGATTGACGGTAAAAGTAAACAAAGATAAGATTCCTTGAGATTATAAATGATTATACTAGCAGAAGTTTTTGCTTGAATGCTGCAGTACAAAAAAAATAGTAAGTATTTGGTAATGATAATCTGTAAGAATATACTGAACAACCAAGCTTAGCTTTTCTTTGGTCTATGTATGTCATAATTCAAAACTTTTCGCACAACTAAATAGTCCTCCAGAAGAGGAGAGCTAAGTCGTGCATGGTTCATTCTTGTTTCAAGTTAAAGTTGCGGGCAAATAAATGATTCTGAAAGCTATTATCACACAACTTCTTGCTTTGAGTTCTTTTTGACTTGACAAAAGCTATAACGTAGACAGGAAAGAAGATTGGAAACAACTTCTAGATTTTTTTGTCTAAGCTAAAAGCCAAACAC